TCTCAAGAACAGTTCATTATTTTATGATATATATTTGCATGAAGTTACTCAACCTAAGATCCTCAGTGTTAGCTTAATAACTTAGTACTATTTCCTAGAGACATCTAAAAAGCATGCTAAATTTGAATAAAAACAGTCTACCAGTCCTAACAATAAACATCACATCTTCACTAACTTCTGTGTGCACACAGTTAAGCAGCTGTTCACATGATCCTAAGTATGTTCCTAACCTGACATTTAGTTTCCTAATTGATAGATTTGATAGACTGATCTTTCAGTTTACAATAACATTTCACCTCTCAAACAAATACATTGCTCCTCATTACAAATCGCAGGCACCCCAGCTGTTGGACTACTGCTGTTTTTACTGTCTTTCTCTCCATTGGGGAAAAACACGTGTTTATCATCATCATTATTATTATTGTTGTTAGTTTGTTCTTGTTATAAGTCTGTAGAGATGACAGGATAAAACAGCAACAGTTTTGCAACTTAACTTATAGTAGACACATTAGGGTACATTACAGTTACTGTCCTTTTTAACAGAGCAGGTCTAGTAAATCTATTTTTAAATGGCTTATTTCAGATAGTGCCTCCTCATTCATATCTGTCAAACTATCTGGCCACTCTGAATAAATACAATTTTCTTATTTTTAATCTGTTCACCTGCAGTCAATATGATTCAAAGAGGAGTGGAGTCTGTTCTCAGCAAAAGAATTAATTATAAATGATCAATCTGTTACAGCTGTCCAAATGCATGGACAGTAGTAGGTTTGTACAAAAGTTATCAAAATGCAATGAAAGAGAGTTGCATAGATGTAACTAAAATTCTAGTTTTAGCTAGCAGCGTGTCCAATTTCTAGTGCCACTGTAAACTAGAAAAAAATCCAACCTTAGCATGGCCTAAATTTAAGGGATTAGTTTTCAGAAGCAAACAACATTCTCACTGTTAGCTAAGCACACTTGGTCTTGTATAAGAGACATAAATAACAGACTTTGGTCTAATAATAATAACTCTATTAACTAGTTGTGGCATAGATGTCAACCCATTGTATTCATACTTGTGAGCTGCTCTTACAACAGTTGACTAAAAGACCACATTATGCTCTTTGTTCAAGGAACAAAGGTCATGGAAGAAACTAGAAAGAAATCTTGATATGTCTTCATGACTCTGCATGTTTCAACTGAGACTATTTCAGGAAGAGAGTTTTCTCATCACCCAAAAAAGGGAGACTAGATATATAAACTACAAGGCTTTTTGAACTCAGTTAAGCCTTCTTTTTTGTGTTTCAGGTAGCAGAACACCAGGGGGAGTAATTCTTTCGAGTTACAAAACGGCAAGCTCTAGAAGACACAGTGATTTCTCATTAGCTCAGTGCAGCCCTTTCAGTAAACACAGAAGTCGAACAGCTTCATACACAGACCATGATGATATTGAATGCCATAACAAAATGTAAGTTCTGAGGGAGGTGCCATTTTTTCCATATAGATTTAAAAAGTGAAGGATTAGACTAGCTTTTTAGTAGGACATGAGGTTTGCTCTTTCATGCTGTTGTAATGACATCCAAAGATACAAATTTACATGCGATCTACAATCCTTAGGATGCTCGATACTCATGAATAGTTGCTAGCATGGAATACATGTGAACAGCTCATTGCATTGTCCCCTCTAGCATCAGCTGGTTTCAGGGAAGAGAAAGAATGAGTTTTGTCCTGAACCCAAATCTATTGCTTAGTTACACCTCTATGTGTAAGAGCTGTGTGGCTGACTGCTGAGAAAGTGCGCCAAAGGCAGGATGGATTCAAGCTGGTTATCTTCACTTAGACTAGCCCCCACGTAGATTTGTTGGCTGGAATCCCCGACCAGAGAAGATCCAGCAATAAGGACAGCTCTACCTTTGTCTGCTTATTAAAGTTAAGTTCCTTGGTGTTGCTCATCATTTCCTACCACACCCAGAGGTTTCATTCAGCTTAATAACATATGAATTGTCTGGGACTAAGGAAGCTACAGCAGCTTCTTTCCTTCTTTCTTTCAGATAGTCCCAAGTGCTGAATATATTTGTACTAAACAGACAGATTCTTTGAGCTCTCCTTCAGTAGCATTAAACAACTTGTGCTGCCTCAACTAGCCCTAATACAGTGCTGTCAAAGTATGCACTAAGATTACATCCTTGAATTTTAAAAAACAAAAAATAGGGACTGCAAACCATATAGTTTGCACATGCACTGAGGATACTTGGGTGCCAAACAGAGAAATCACTGTGTAAGTCATATTGACATTGAGCCTTTCTTCACCATTATTTCAAGCATGGGTGCAAAAATCTTAGCTTCCTGCTTGTCTTTGAATACTCTGGGTGAGCAGGGCCTGCTTTTGATATAAACATGCCACGGCTTAGTGAGGCAGGGGTTGCACAGACATGTAGCTCCTGGCTAAGAATTCCACTTGGCTGCTGAAGCAGCATAGGTGTGAACTTGCTTGCCTGATGTGCTCTGACAGCATGATACATTAACTGACATGCTGATGCAGACCTAATTGTCTGTCTGGGAGGCTGTCCAGCAACAGACACCAAAAAGGCACGTGCAAAGAACCTCATCAGGAATAATTACAAAACAGCTTGCCTTAAGGTGAAGTTTCTTCCTGTTTCCAGATAGTGAAATATTGCTGTTCAAGCAGAAGAGATATTAGTCTTTGCAATATATTTTTTCCAACTATAGTTATGACTCTTCTGAGTTTTCATACAAATGCCTAATGCCCTCCTGAAGGTCTACACATTGATACCTGTGCATTTAATTTACTTGGTCTTCTTATGCACTATATATTATAGATATATGGAGTAAATGTGGGCAATAACTTGTTAATCTTCCATTGCTTCTCTGGCAAAGAATATGGGTCTGTAAGATTTTTTTTGCATTGTTTCTCACTCTTCTGATGAAGGACAGATGTCAGGTACCTGGATGAGTCCCACTTCTTTCCCTTCTCATTCTCATCCCTACCTGATGAGGGTGCTCATATACTACAGGACATCCCACATGATGTCTGTGGAAACAGAATGTAGGATTTCTGCTTTCACATAAGATTGAGAAAAGTGAGATTAGGATATTTCTAAAGCTTTTGCCATGACTGCCTTTCCTCCATGCTTGCAGAGTTGAGGACCAACATGATGACAAATAACACAAGATGCATTGCAGCACAAGAACATTTGCATCCCAAATTATGGAAAAAGTTAAATACGCTGAAAAGAGGGAATCCCCTGGGAATAAAGAGAATTGGGAGACTTCTTACAGAAAACAGTTATCCTTTTGCACTCCATGTGTGACCCCAGCCTAAGTTTCCCACTAGGCTGAAAACAGGCCATAGGATATGAACTAGATCACTAATTTTTGCACTAATCTTGACCACCCAAGGTATGGAAAACATAGCCTGCTGTGTTTCCCCAAATGGCCCACCGAAATTCTAGAACATACTTATATATAAATATGTGTACATGCATTGTTGTCCTTTGGTGAATATATATGGAAGACCACATATTCCCCTCAACATCTTGTGCTCAATATGCTTTCTGAAGAGGACACCACTTGTTCAGTCTCAGATGCTGTAGGTGGGGCTGATAGTCAGTCAGCATACATAACTGGATTTGTATTATAAGTTTGTAGAAACACCTTAAAAAGCAACAGACTCAAATTTTCTGGGGTAGGACTCACCTATCTAGTGATGTGGTTCTGTTTTTTTTTAATCTTCACACTGTCTTTGTACTGCTGTGAATGTTTTATTCTTATTCCCTTGTATTGTTTTTGTATTAACTTTTTATACCTTGAAAGAATGCACTGCTATTCTCCTTCTTCAACTAAAAAGAATTAACAATAATATTGCTCTAATGGTGTAATAGAGTCTGAACTATGTTGGCTATTCTGACACAACTATTCTGGAGCACCTCCTACCATATTGCGGGACTCTTCAATAACTGTTAAACATGGATTCTCAGTCTTCAATTACTGAGTTGACTGGCGGAATCCTTAAATCCGTAGCAGAATTTGTGCTATTCTAATCTTGACAGCTGGAGAAATACAGTAAGTTCATGACTAGTTTGCAGTGAGCCAACAGATGGGCACAGATTGGAAGAGCTAGGGTTATTGCCTCTTCTAGACACAGAGAATGTATCTTTTTATGTAATGTCTTCATTGGGGTCTTGCTTAACAAAGCCATTTCCATTTCCCTTCCTATGTGTTGGTGAGGTGGACAAATGTATAGTTTATTAGTTTTCCCCTCAAGCTCAGTTTCGTGTTTTCATACTCCTGCACAGGGAGATACAGCCCTGAAGCTCTGATCCTCCTCAAAGCAGATCTTTCCTTAAGGAGGTACTAGTCTGTCTGAAGGGAGACATAAGCTCTGTCATTCTGGTCACTCTCATGCACCTATACCAGACTACATAGTTGGTCCCAAGGACTTTGTTATTCCTTTCATGAGGGCTGAAGAGACTTATGGGACTGGTACGCTTCCCTGATCACTCTTGACAAGAACTTGTGAAAGAGTTTCACCTTCCTTGTTCCAGTTGTCTATTTGGAGTTGACTACTGCTGCTCTGCGTTTTCTTCAGAAACAATATTCAACCAGCTGCGTCCATTTATGTAGCTGCTTAAGGTGAGAAAAAGACCAAGTATTTTTCAACAGCAAAGAGCTTCAGATCTTTTTTTTCCCATGCTCTTCAATGTCTGTAAGGGGGTCAGAAGAGGGAAAACCCCCAAATTCTGGGTGCTCAGGATTTCAGAATATCAGAATATTATGCCTTTCCTCTCAGGAATGGGTTTGTGAGGACCAGAACCTATTTGTTTCCCTCTTCACTTGCAGATCCAGCAGGATGGATTCTAGGAATCCTTACTGTTTCATTCTGTTGCAGTACCATAGAGTTGTGTAGAACTAAGGACTTGCTGTTCCTGGTGTCAGCACAAAGGATTAGTAAGTTTCCCTCCTGGATCATGGAGTAGACCCAAGAACTGCACAAGAAATAGCATAAAATTTTGAGCCCTTTACTCTCAACCTCTTTACCAGGTGACATTGCTTACATATTGTGTGCTAACTGGAACTTGAGTTCTGGACCAAGCTGGCATACCAAGGGATAACTTTCTGCTCATCTCCCTCTGAGTAATAATCTCTCACATCATGATGGCATTCTTTTGGAAAAAAACATAATTTTTTTGTTGCCTTTATTATGTTTTTGTAGTTTTTCTGGGCTCTCAGCCATCGATAAAGCCTGCTGTTGGCTTTGTAGCTTTGTCTGACACCTTTTGTTGGCAGAATCAACAGGTGCTTGTGATCTATCCAAACTATTATTCCATCTCCTCCCCATGTTATTATAACTTTCCCCCCTTCAATCTATTCCCAGTGTCTGATGTCAGCCACATTTAAATGCCACCAGTTATTTAGCTCTGCTTTCTAATCATGGGAAGGCTTTGGTTTTGTTCATGGAACAGGACATGTAGTGTGCACTCTCTGGGTGCACTAAGTCTTCAAGTAGCATACTGACATGTCTTTTTCTTACAGTGAAAATCCCTCTGAATTTCCCCAGAACCTTTCCAGAGTTTGAGACTAGTGGAATAAGGATGGTGTAAACATCACACTTCAACTGGTTCAAGCTGATTCAAATGGACTCGCATGAGCTGGATGCTGTTTAGAATCTTTTTCTGGTGACCAACGAGGGTGATGCCAATACGCTGGATATCTCTGCAAGAGAATAGAGGATGTGGAAGGTGTTAAAATGGGTGTCTTGTTCTGAATAGTCACAGAGCATTTCCCTGTAGATCCAAATCAATGTGTATGCATATACATGTATGTGTATCTTTTTCTGAGAAACAGTTGACAAGGCTTCTACTTTTGCTCAGCAAATGTGTGTGGGTGGAAGGGGTGTCAGCAGAACTTGGCAGGTTATGATACAAAAAGAAGCAGTGGAAGTGGGACACGAAAATGATCAGAGTGCTAGAAGACCTCTCCTAATGAAGAAAAGCTGAGAAAGTTGGTGTTGTTTAGTCTGGAGAAGAGAAGGCTCCAGGGAGATCTTATTGCAGCCTTCCAGTACTTAAAGGGGGCTTATAAGAAAGATGGAGAGAGACTTTTTACCATGGCCTTTAGTTACAGGGCAAGGGGCAATGGTTTTAAATTGAAAGAGGGTAGGTTTAAACTGGATGTAAGGAAAAAATTTTTTACAATGAGGGTGGTGAGACACTGGATCAGGTTGCCCAGAGAAGCTGTGCATGCCCCATCCCTGGAAGCATTCATAGTCAGGTTGGACAGGGCTTTGAGCAACCTGATCTACTGAAAGTCGTTCGTGCTCATGGCAGGAGGGTTGGAGTAGATGATCTTTAAAGGTCCCTTCCAATTCAAACCATTCTATGATTCTAAGAATATTCTCTTTCCTTGCTCCTGTCTTCTACATAACACTTCAACCCAGTATATGGTGCAGTTGGTTCTACACATCTCCTTAAAAGTGGTTAGTACCTGTGACAGCTGTCATGGAAGTTCTGATGTAACAGTCTCTGCAACACTGACAATACATTTTGTAGTGTACACGAAATCAGTATTAGTACTTATAGAAACAGATTAGAAATATACAGAGGTATGGAGGGTGTCCAGAGGCCCTAATAAGATGTAAGAGACTGCAGCTACTTTGCTCTGGCTTCAATCTTCTTTTTCATGTGTATGTATTCTCCATATAGCCCGTACTAAATATTTCTCATTCTGCTTTCACTTTCTCCATGGGAAAATCAGTGTCTGGTATCTTCTGCTCTCTGCCCCTCTACTTACTCCAGAGTCATGCGTGATATGACATCAAATGTAATCAGACCAGCCTGGTCAAAATTCTCCTTGTAACGGCCCATCTTGATAGCATCCAACCACTCATGGGCATTGCTGAGTGAAGGGAAATCCAGAGGACGGTTGCTCAACAGAGGCTGAGATGGTCTGCAAAAGAGGCAGGTTCTAAAAACCCAAGTTATCAACATTAGCTGACCACACTAGTAATGTCAGAGTTATAAGAGGGAGAGAATGCAACTTCTGAGTAGCACAGAATGGAGCAGAACAATTATATTTGTTCTTCATAGCCCGATTCCTAAAGTTCCACCTTGATGCCCTGTTTCTAGACCACCTGTGTTCCCTTTTCTGCCTGAAAACAAGCTACCCAATCCAAGATATTGATCCTTCCTTCCTGTTTTATACTCTCTCAGGCACATTCTCTTCTTATTGCTCCAGATCCTTCCACACTTTCTAGGTTTAGACTTGTTAGCTGGGCACAATTGCAGTGAGAAGGTTTCTGAGGCACAGAGATGAGACCTTATAACTTTTTAACTTTATGACTAGTTGTTCCTCTGCTAGATGCACTCCTTGGATCAGAAAGTAACCTATGAGATGAGTGCATTGTTTCAGCTCCAACACGCATCAGGTAAAAGCATAGCAGTAAAAGGCCAAAGAAATTACTGTTTATACATGGCATTTGCTCTTTTGTGTGTCATCTGAATCTGTCCCAAAACTGTAACTCTCTTTATGTGCTGTTTTTTTAGTAAACTGGGTATGACTTCAGCTGTGGAGTACATTGCAGTGAGACAAGGTTTATAACCACGGCAAAAAACCTTCCAGGCCAGCAGATGTAATTCTGTCATCAGCCCAACAGCCATCTATCTTGGTGACTTCTCCTTTGCTGACCTCCTGCCTCTGGTTCCATCAGGCTGTAATGTGCAGCTGGGAAAATATGGGATGCAAGCTGCAGTTCTAATTAGTTTTAGCTACAGATTTCCTTCCCTCCATAAGCTAAGGTCTTCTCTTCCTTCATCACCTCTTGTGATCACACATTACTGTGTGATCACAGAATATCTTGTGTAGCTGCACACAGATGTGTCCCTCCCTTCATTGCTTAAGATCCTTCACTCATGTTCATCCTCAGTGCATCTCATCAAGAGATTCATCTCCCCTCACATTCAGCACTCACAACTCCTCATCACCTATTAAGTGAATCAGGATATACAGTTCTTCCAACCCTCTCCCCCATTTTTTTCCCCTTCCTATTTGTTCCCAGTCTTAGATGAGAATGTCGGAAAAAATAGTATATAGCCTGATTTACTGCTTTCTTTTCCTCATGATACCTACCCAGAGACAAGCGCTATTATTTTGCACTAAATCCTCATCTCACCTGCTGCTCCCAGTGCCAGTGGCTTTGAGGGCAGATGGCTTGCGGATCATTTTATCTAGGGCACTGACTATTTGCTCAAATTTGGGTCTCTGCACCCGCTCCTTCTGCCAGCAGTCAAGCATCAGTAGGTGCAAAACAGTTGGGCAGTCTGGGGGTGGTGGCAGGCGATAGTCCCGGTCAATGGCATTAATTACCTGTAGGAAAAGAAGAAAAAAGCTTTATCACAGCTGGGAAAATAAAAGATAACAAGCTTCAATCACTTGGTGGTGTATGACTTTCTGCTACTTGAATTGATACAGGACAGAGAGGCAGATGTATATTCTCACCACTTCTAGAACTTACATCCTGATTGGACATGTCCCAGTAGGGCCTTTCACCATAGGACATCACCTCCCACATGACAATGCCATAGCTCCAGACGTCACTGGAGGAGGTGAATTTGCGATACTGGACAGCTTCAGGGGCAGTCCAACGGATGGGGATTTTGCAGCCCTAGAGAACAGTCAGAGAGTAACCAGAATGTTAGTAAGTTAAGAACTATTTGTGAAAACAGCATCACTGAACTAATCAGATGCTGGTAGCATGATACAAGTCTGAGCATGGAGTGCCAGTCCAGTTGATGTTGTTTGTAGACATTGTTGGTTTAAATTCAAACTATGCTGAAGGTTTGTTCTATTGACAAATATAGATGAAAAAACAGAATCATGCTCCTTTGCTGCTACAAATCACATGATGATTTTAACTTTTATAGTTCTTTGCAGCATCTGAGAGGTAGCAGATAGTCTACTTCTCCTGAAAGTCACAACCATTTGGAAATCTAAAGCCATTTAAACAATCCCAGCCTGCAACACTAAGGACAGATACACTGACTGGCTAGCATTAACTCCTTCTTCTTTCCACCTTGACCTCTCTGACTGCAGGTGTGACCTGCCAGATGAAATAATCATTCAGGTGCTGGTTCTTCAAAACACATTCAGTGACTGAATTCTTCATGCCCTGCATAACAAATAGAAGTTTCAACCCACCTATTATACTCCCACTCCTTTTGTGGTACATATAACAGGTGCCAGAGCTTCATAGGCAAAAAGTTCATTTGATGGTTTGTTGTAATCCCATAAACATACTTATGCCAGTTATCTTTCCTGCAGGAAAAAACCCTCTTTCCTCAAAGCTTGGTGGGACAGGACTTCAATCTCTCCTTCAGTTCTTTTTACTTTGTGTAAGAAGGTAATAAAAGGGGAAAGATAGCACCCACATCAGGTTATGAGATTTGTCCTATTCACCATCGTTCCACAAAGAATGGCACTGAGACTCCATTTCACATGGCAGAGTGGATCAGATCTTCAGTTACTTTTGGGTTTTTGCTAGTTTGGAACAGATAACCCACAAGATAGAAGGCTCTGTGCCACTGGTCTCTCTGTTATCAAGAGGGACTAAAAAAGGTACACCAAATTGAGGAGGCACACAGAAAAATTGTAGGTGGCAGCACTACAGTAACTCACTCCATAGTGGTAACTCACCATAGCTCCGGTATAGGTGGGATTTGAAGCATCATCCTCCAGAAAACGGGACAAACCAAAGTCTGACACTTTGCACACAAGATTACTGTTGACTAAGATGTTACGTGCTGCCAGGTCACGATGCACATAGCTCATGTCTGAAAGGTAGCGCATGCCAGCTGCAATCCCCCGTAGCATTCCCACAAGCTGTAACACACTGAACTGTCCCTCCTTCTGCTGCAAGTGAGGAGGCAAACATAGGCTTTTATGACCACAGAACATGAAGCCAACGGGGAAGACTAACAACGAGCAAGGTAACAAGGTTGATTTATGAAGTTAAAGAACATACATCTTAACTTCAGCCAAAATCTGAAGTTTCAGGGACAGCAAATAAGAAAGGAAGGTGGGCTTAAGGCAATGAATCTCAAATGAAGGCAGACACTGGTGATCTTTTCTGAAGACAAACCTCATCTTGTGACCATATCCTCCTTTAGCATCCTATGCCTAGTCTCATTAACTACTAAGATGGCTAAATGAATGGGAGCAAACAAATCTACTCTTATTGTTTTAAGATCATTACAATGGGTTCATGTGTTCTTCAAAATGTACCTGCCAAAGCGATTGTGGTTGCATTAGCGTCTGAATCAGTAAAAAAAAAGTAGTGAAGCATCTATACTACAAAAATGTCTATATTTATATTTCATTACTAGAAAAAACACTGGAAACCCAGAGTCCAAAAATAACTACAAGTTTCATTACTTCATTACGATGTTGAAACTTGAAAACATTCAGCAGAATAGAGTCTGAAAAACATTATTAGAAAGGCAAACTTTGGAACATGTACATAAGAACTAGAAGGCTGTGCAAAGATAAACAATTTAGTACTGTTTACCATTAATTATTTGAGCTGGAGAGATCTAAAATAATGAAGATATTTTATATGATGGGTGAACCTTTGGAATATATTCACCATGTTGGCCCAAAACCACTTACTCTGGTAATTTGTTATTATTTCTATTGCACCTGAAGAGGCAACTGGGGACTTATAGAGACAGGAGTGAAGAAGAAGGACAGGCAAAATTATCAGATCTGAGACTGGCACACAGCAAGATGAAGAGGTAACGATTGTGGGAGACTCGGGTTGTGGTACCCTGAGGAAGGAATCCAGTGATCCATTCTCCATGAACTCTGTGACAATCATGACTGGTCGGCTCTTGGTGACCACACCCTCCAGATGGATGACATTGGGATGCTCAAATTGCCCCATGATGCTGGCCTCACTCAGGAACTCCCGCCGCTGTTCATCTGTGTAGCCTGACTTCAGGGTCTTAATAGCTACTGTGTATTCACGCTTCCCTGGGTGTTTTAGGCGCCCAAAGCACACCTCTCCAAACTCTCCTGTCAGAGAGGGAAGAAACACACCTCAAGTAAGGAAACACAGCAAAGAATTTTAGTCAGGTGCGCCAAAACTTTCTACTATGGAAAACTCCAGGTGCTGCTTTGGAAGTAGGGCTACTAGGACTGTTTGGATTAAGGTAAAGTTCTTGATGTAGGCTCTGAATTTAGTTGGGTTTGAGGCTAAATCTTCAGCATTCAAAGGAAGACCTCTGAGTCTTCAAAGGGTATTTTAAACTTGGTTTGAAGCTAGCATCTAAGAATAAGTAGACTAAGATGGCTTTTGGTAAAAATGAAGGTTAGCTATCCTGAGACACTTGATGTACCATGGCTGGGTCCATTTCAAGCCAGTAGTGTGTAAGGTCTCAAGGTGAACAAGAAGGCACTTCAAAATCTGCAGATTCTCACACTACCTGATCCAATGACCTCTTCAATCTTGATGAAGGACACATCAATCTCCTTGGCAAATTCGCGAATAGCTTCATTGGGATCTTCATAGGTCGAAGGATCAATGTAATACTTCACTCCAAGTCCTGCAGTGGAGGAGAGAGCCCAAAACATCACGAGAATCAAATGGTGTTTGGGTGTTAATGAGTCCTGAAAAGAGACAGGCCCTTGCCATCTGTTGCTCAAGAACGCTTACCTCGTGCACTGATATACTGCTGCAGACGGTCTGTGTATGGAGTCTCTCGCCTTTTACTGCAGGACATAAAGGAGAGGAAAGTCAAAACACAGACAAGAGTCTCTCATAGGATATTGGGGTAGGCTTCTCAATGCAAGACTCAGATAATCTTTGAATTTAGAGGTAGAAGATGGGTGTTAAGATCCTGTCCATCTCTTGGTAACCAGTGCATGCTTGTTTTCTATGTGGTAGCTTTTATACCACTGTTTGCATCCCCACTTTAGATATGACAAAAGATAGGGCCTCCAGCACTATCCTGAAAAAAAATATTACAGTTTAACATTACTGTCTTGGAAGTTTTCTTGCTATTCAGGCTAAATTTGTGTTTTAATTTAATTTAATTAATACAAATTATTCTTTTCAATACCAGTCTAAACCATCTCCCATGATGCCTTTTAATATCTTCAAAAACATTCTAAGAGCCATTTACTCTAATGCTTAATTTGTATAAATTTAACCCACAGTTTACTTCTTTATTTTTCTTCCTGGTTTCTTAAAAGCATTTAATTTGACTATTCTTTTCATAAGTATGGTACCCAAAACAAACCACACAGATCAAGATGGACAGAAATCTGTTCCATGATGTGATTTTTACATGTGCAGATCAAAACAGGTATGTTCTTTATTATTGTAGTATTTATTGCATATATGAAACTAATTTCCAGTAAGTATAGCTCCTTCTCAGCACAGGCATTTCTCAAATTTCATTGTCTCCTTAAATGTGTGTGATTCAAGCAGCTTTTTCCCACATAATCTAGTTGTTATTCTTGATTTGCTCTAAATATATTTTCCACTTTCAATTCCTTTGTTGCCAACAATGTTCTCTTTTTTTTTTCCCCCAAAAAATGTACAATTCATGCTAGTTTAGTCTTTTCTAAATCATATTAATTAGCCCAGACTGTAAATCAAACCCTCTGGTATTCTGTAGTATCCCTGCTGTATGCACGAATTTTTGTCAACTCACATGCTTTACTGTTTCAGCACAAGACCTTCTAGCTGCTGATTCAATTAGCATCTGAAGACAAAATATCATAGAACATTATGTTACTTTTCTTTACTAGCATAATTAATTCTGTCATTCTAACAGGAAACTGTGTATTACTCTTACTTGTCAGGCTTATCTCTTTAAATTCTGCTAAGATTGCAAAACCACAGATAGTTCTACCTTCAAAATCTGTTCTTTCTGCTATGGAAGGAAGTTGGCTTTACTGGGGGCCTATAGCTAAGAGCTCTAACTGCTATTGCATTTGAAAGTCAGGTCTACATTCATGTGTTTTATAGGTTATCTCACATACCAATGGTTTTCCATTGTTAAAAAAACTGACTAGCTAAAATAGATAAGTGTTTCACATCGTATCTTGCCTGGACAATGTGTACCAACAATAATAATATCACATTTCCAGCTGCAACAAGAAATTGTGTTTTTAACAGTTCGAAGCTACAAAAGGAGGCAACAATGCAAATATAGCAATATTTGATAATTCTTTGCTTTCCAGAAAGAAAAATATTAAAAGATAATATACACAGAAAGAGAAAACAGTAGTAGAAAAGGGAAGAGAACAAAAAAGGAATAACCAAAACTAGATGTCACTTTCTAAAGCTAAGTAGTTTATGCATTTTTTTTTAGATCAGCAG